AAGTCACATATAAAAAACCCTGAATATGTAGATTTTTGGTTAAATAAATCTCCAAAACATTACAGCCTTCAGAAGCAGTCAATACATACTACTGTATTTTTACTTTCCTGAAGAAAAAGGTATTTAAAAGGTATTCTGAATGGAATGTTTAAATACCACCAGCACACTATTTTCCCTAGAGAAGGGTGTGATTGATTCCATGACACCAGCTATAAAAGTTACCAACCTTCACTATTGGCTGAAGTGAAAAATATACAACAGATAAGACTTTTAATATACCTGCTTCATCCTAATAATCTCAAAGAAACACCAGTGCTAATGAAGTTAGTTAGTAAGTAGCTCCTAATTTCAATGCCAGCCAACCATTTTGCTTGCAGCTGTTTGCTTTGCCATTCCCAACAATCCCTCATAAAGTTCCACAGTCTCAAAAGCATGGAGCCCATTGTACGGTTTCTTCTTTGCCTCTGGTTAAAAAATAAATAAAAATGAAGAATTTAGATTGTACTTGAAGCAAAGCCAGGAGCCTCACAAGTCTGTTGCATGTCAATTCCACAAATCAGCTACAGTCTTCAGAAAACAGCAGCAGGATTTGAGCATCTCTACTCAGGTCAGAACTGGAAGGCTGCTGACAACAAAGAAGGAATAAGCTTCTGGAAACCCGGAAACAAGAGGGCAGGGATACTATCCTTGTGTTAGGCAAGAAGGGCAGAGGGCACAGATAAGGCTACATTTTCTACATAGATATTGAACTGTGAAGCAAGAAAAAACATTTTTCAGGTAGTACTTTCTGAAACTCTATTGGCCCAGCAAGCTGGAAAGTAAGGGTCTGAGAGGAGTATTATCCTTCTGTGCTGGAAATAACTGCTGCATTAAGACTCTACATTTACCACTTGCACAGTACTAGGACTTCAGAAAAGAATCTCTGAACTGAGATATATTGAAGTTGGTCTTAAAACCTTCTTTCAGCCAGTAATCTGCCAGATCACTTCTCACCCTTCAACACCACTTCGGTTTGTTCTGCAGTTTGCTCTAATACAAAGGAGTGATCAAATTTCCCTCACCCACAGCAACCCAGGACCTCCCATTAAAGCTAAAATTCAAGTATTAAGTACTGTTCTACCCACAGTATAAAAAGTAAGTTGATACAGTAACTGTAATAGCTACTACTATTAGTGGCAAGAAAAATCTATTCAAAAAGAAAGTTTGTGAAGCAATCAATGAGGAAGTTTGATGCTGTATCAAAACCTTCTACAGTACTAAGATGAGTACACAAACACCTGGAAAGAGAAAACAGAATTAAACCATTACAGATGCTTCTTCTAGTTGCCCCTGTTGCTCCCAACTAGAAACAGCATTTGTCTGGGCAGATATGAAAGCTGAATTCTCTATGCAAAGCTGAAATTAATGAAAGCCAGAGATGCTGAGATGGATGGGGGGCACATCTCTCTCCTTTATCCTACTGCATACATCGGAAGGAAAAAAAAAAAAGGTACACCTATTAACTGAGGGATCTCATCTGCCTGAGTTCAGGACATAGTTCTGCACCAATCTGGAGATATGTATGCTGCAGAACAACTTCAGATATCACAGGGGAGTCTAAATTTGATGCTTCCCCTCCCGTCGCTTTTTTAATGGTTTTTTTAAAAATATGAGCTGCAAGAGTCCAGGTAAACATTATCTCAAACTTGCCCCAACTAAACTATGCTATTAATTGTACATTATCAGGAATTTTACAAAAGCAGCTGCATTTTGTTAAGTCTTATTTAAAAAAAAAGGAAGAACGCATGAAGTATATACTCTTCTTAAGGCAGAAATACACAGAGCTGATCACACCAAAATACCGGGACACTGAAACCAGAGATTTGTCTTTCTCTATTCTGGACTGAAGTTACTCTGTACCGTCACCACTGAAATTACTTTTTAAATAATGAAGATGCACCAGGAATATGCCAGTTGACTATTCACAACATTGCACAGATTGGTTTGTTAGAGGCCTCGATTTTAGCTATCACTTGTTACAAAGTATTTTGTATCAACAGAAAAATCAATTCTACAGTAAGGAAGAAACTGCTCCAAAAGAACACAGCTTCTATAAATGGAGGCTCATGCTCTGGTTCTTCAATGACTGCTTCTTGTGTCAAACTGCAAGGGAGAGCATAAAGGCAGGATCTTCAATTCTACCAAATTCACTACATATTTTAGAAAAGTGAACTCACGTGCCAACATTTAGTTTTAGGATACACAGGGATTATGTGATTAGAATCCCACTGGCTTGCTAGGAGGATTCAGTAAGATAACTACAAATTACTTAAAGGGCTAGTGTCAAAAGGACCTCTGTACTTATTTAGCCTCTGCTCTAGATTACTGACCCACTTATGAAGAGCTAAGCACCCCTGCTGCTCACTGCCAACACCCACTCCATCTGTTTGCTTCTGCTTTCTCAGTACCTCTATTAGTCTGTGTAAGAAGTTGTGTTAATTACCACATGAGCAGCTTTTGCATAGTACACGCAGTATCAGCCTCACTGAGCATGTGGTCACCTTGACAAACAGCACAGAAACAGAACAAGGCAGGCTCATCAATGACACACAGAGAGTAGACACAGTCCCCTGAAGAGGCAATTGAATTCAAGTTTTGTCCAAGCTGCTCTCAGTTCTGAGAAAAGCTTGTAGGTGTTCAGTTGTTTGAGGTTGATTTGTTTCTATGTCGAAGCACTGCAGCAAACTCTCTGGAAATCTTCCAGGGGATCAGAAACTTGTGACTCTGCAACTGAAACTTCTGTTGAGGGAATAATGCAAAAGTTGCAAATAGAAGCATCCTATCTAAGCTGAGTTAAACAGTATTAGCAATTAAATCTAAAGCCAGTTAAAAAAAAAACACCACACAAAACCCCTCCCCACACAGAAGAAGGCTTGGAAAGTTTGCCCAGCTGTCACATCAAAATAAGAATCTCCAGAAGTCATTACAGTACTGAGCTGACATTTGTTCCTTCTTGGGAACCCAGGCTGCTGCTGTCAAAGTGAAATAATATCAACAATCCAAAAGCCAACTATGAGACCCAACAATTCTGTACAGCACTGCTGGCAACCCTGATACCATCTCACCCCTCCTTAATACCAAAGCTATTTCTTAGTTTAATTTTAAACCTTATAAATTAGCCAATACCACTTCAAGGGCTCTCCAGCTACCAGCTTACTCCTAAGGTAGTCAGGAAAAGCAAAACCTTGGCCCTCTCCTTCCCACAGCTAACTGCGAGACAGAGAACATTACAGCCCAGCAAGAACTGCTCATCCCAACATGGAGGTTCTACAAACGTAAACAGAGCTTCATATTCTGTTTTCAAAGATTATTTACTATGTCTAACACAAAAGGTCATGCAAGCAGGAGGAAATGCTCAAATACAGAGAAGTAGACTGGGAAAACAATGCTATATTAGCATACTCTTTGTACCTTTTATCATTGTCTGCAAAATGGAAGGTAGACAATTTATTCTTCTGAAGTAGCAATATTTACTGCCTCAGTACCCCTGGAGGAGAGCTCTAGGAAGTCTCTCTAAGAGCTCTAAAAGTTAGACAGACATTTTATACACAGTAAATGGCATAATTAGCTTCTCTCATACGAAACAATTAAATGTGTCAGCTTTATCATGGTAAAAGCTTGTTAAATACATAGTGTCATGTCAAGTCAAGAAATAGATACCCTTGACATGTTCCAGACTTACCCTACTGATACACAGTAAGACAAAGCTCTAGTATTTTCTTTCTGGTAAAAGGAAAAAAGCAGAAGGGAAACCCACAGAATGTTGAGACTTTTCTAGGGAAGAATATACAAAGCAGAGGGCAGCATTGGAAATAAAAGGTGAACAGAGAGAACAGAATCAAAGTAGTCAGTCATTCAGAGCATACTCATGAGATTCCCAGAAAGCTGTGTCACATCTAAAAGAGAATGCTAAACCCATTACCAAATTACAGCTGTAACACATTTGATATATGGAAATCATTACTGACACCAGTCAAATCTAGTTGGTGCTATGTTTAATACAAAGTTTAAAAGCAGATGAATGTGCTAATACAGAAATTCAGGTCATAAACCAGATGCAGTTTCTCTCCCCTAGAATTTATTTTAAGTGTCAAGTGGCTAAGTGCCCAGAATATTCCTGTGCCACCAGATCCTGTAGCTTTTTTTCCTAGAAAAACACACCTGTGAAGTGATTTGCTACTTAGGTTGCACATCATGAGCTCACATATGCACCTTAGTGGGATTTCTGTAGATGATTTGAGAGCATTATACTTACAACCATCACCCTTGTCTCTCGCACAGCAGTTGCTATGAATTAAGTTGAGAAAGTCAAAGGGGTAGGAATGCAAGTCATTCATCTAAATGTAAATTCACATCAGGAGCACAAGAGCAATTCTAAAAACACTCCAAGTTATTAAATTATAAGCACTTTCAACAACCAATAACGACTCCACTAAAAAAACCTGGTCTTTAGACAACCTGCCTCCAAAGATAAAACTTCCCTTCAAAGGGAAGGACGGATGCAGCTTGCATAATTTAAATGAAACTACCAGATATAACTGAAAATAATTATATGACTGAAGTGTTGACCAAGGAAAAACTAGTCTTTTTGTTTGTTTGTTTCAAGTGGAAGTTAGGTTCATGTATGCCCTTCTGATTATAGACAAGGTTAAGAAATAAAAGCATGAGGCAGTGCTACAAAGTAAGAGCTGTGCTAAGCACCACCAGAATACAGACAAATTGGAATCTACATAGTAATTAAAACGTACAGTGATTATTAGAAACTGTGACTTTACCAAGCATGTCATTCAGTTGTAAGCAAGCACTATATAAAAAAAAAAAACAAAACAAAAAAAAAAACACTAACAAATTGGGTTTTAAAGAATCAAAAGCATGCAACTGATTTTTAGGCATTTGCTCACATGATGGCTTAAATATCCACTTAGTTATTTCTGAAGTAGTGCAAACACAAGAGCACTTACCTTGGTATTGTCACACATTTTGTATTGCAATTCTGAGTGGTAATGGCCTTCTCCAGCTCATCCAGCTGTCCTGTTTTCTTGAGCTTCTTGACCAAGCTTTTCACTGCTTTTTCACACCACTTTTCCTCCTGACCATTCTGCTCACCACCACCAGCCCCTCCAGAGCCACCAGCAGATTTTTTCCACCCCAGAAGTCTCTTCACAACTGGTGGAGTGAATGGCAATATGGCTGACATGACTTTCACCAGACAGAACCCTCAGCAAGTAATAAATTAAGAGGTTCCCGTCTGAGCCCTAAAAACACAAACCAAAACAGACACATTAGCACTGAGGTTTCACCTGAAACAAACAGCTTCCTTAGGACCTTTCATTACCAAATGCCACAGGACAATACATCTCCAAACAAGTCAGATAACAACTCAGTCTGAATCATGGTTAGTTATCAATGTCAAAATGCAAGCTTGTTGCAGACTCTTCAACATTTAGCACAGAATAAAGTTACTGTTGGACTAAACATTTAATTTTTCCTCAAGTCTTTCCTGGCTACAGTCACCCACAGAAAACACAGAAGTTAACTTTGAGTCTCACTTTTCACCTTGGCTGGCTAGTTTCAGTAATTTATTAACATTTTCCACAAGTGATTGACAAATTGCACACACACACATGCACGTTCTACCCGTCTCCAAATTAATTTAGCAAGGAAAATTGTGTTTGGAATGTCATTTAGTCATTACTGCTTGACAGAAGTCTTCAAAAAGCAGCCAGTTCACAAGGCTTTTCTCAGTTTGTCATGTTTTGAAAAACTACCAGTGTCTGTTTCACTGCAGAGATCAATCTGAAAGTCATTCTTTAAGTAATGAGCTTATTCTCATCTTTTAATGGCCTACAGAAAATGGATCTTCTCAACTGGCAATGCTTAAAATCATCCAGTCTTTCAAAATTCATGAGAGAATATTTAAAATCTCAGTTTGCAAGCACCTGAGTAGGTAGAACAAGACAAGTGGTCACAGGTACAAGTCACTCCTGGGAGATTCCAATGGGACATGAGGTAAATTTTCCACCATGAGGACAGTCAAATATTGGAATAGTCTCCCAAGGGAATTGGTAGACTTCACCCCACTGGACAGTTTCATAAGTCTCAGCTTGATAGAGTGCTGAGCCCTCTCATATAAACTACACTAGTACCTAGAAAGGCTGGATCAGATGATCCTTGAGGTCCCTTCCAACCTAGCCTTCTATGAACTGTTTTCAATTTTTAGGTATTAAAACTTAAGCCCCAAATCAACTGTATTATTTCAGGCAGACAGATGTTAGAATTTGCTTAAGGACATAATAGTCCTAGGGATAGAAGTATGGCATTCAAGTCCAAAACAACCTTATTTCCAGGCAGCAAATGGGTATTTGAACTCCAGCAAGTAACCTGATTTCCAAGCTGTTTCAAGTCGATTCAGCGAGCTGAAAATATCTTGTTTTAGCTAAGAGGTAACACTACCTTCAGGCTACTTGAGTTGAGCTTTCAAGGCAGCTCACACACCTCTTCATCCTGCAGAGGCACATGCCTCACTTCCAAAATACACCAACTTCACCTTCCTGAAATTTCCCACCTGCAAAACAACACTGTTCATTTGCGATACTTCAGGCTACAGTATTCATAGCTAATTTATGCCTCGTCATGTCTTTGTGGTTTCAATCAGGACCAACCAGTCAACAAACACTAGATTATATTCTATAGGTAGCTTTAAATATTACCTTTCAACTTCCACCAAACCTAAAAT